GGACATTAGTAAATTAAATCAAAGAGCTAACTAAGCAATATACTTCAAAGCTGAGTTACAAATATGGTATGATGAAACACAAACTTATTAGTGAAAATGCAGTCTTAGAAAACGATGTAACAAACCGTTCTATACTCCAAAATTAATTAATGAGACAAGGACATTGCTTGAAGAATATTACCAAATCGAAGACTAAAGGCGCAGCCATTAGAGCTTGTCACCAAATTCCTAACGACATGATGCCCCACCTCATTTTATTTTTGATGTTTCAAAAAAACATAAAGGGAAAACAATTACTGACTCGCCTGGTAGTGTACTCAAAGCTTTTTTCGCCTGAACATGTTTCAGTTGAATGCCAAAATAAAATGTCGGAGGATTTCTCCCAGTTGTCTGAAACTTCTAAAGAAGACTGTGAACATTAACGCTGTTATCATTTGAAGAGCTCTCCACTGCAGTGAAGCGTGTATCTACTGTAAAATCAATAAACCACTTGACATTATTTGGAACAACGTAGGCTGAATCCTTTTTGACAAAGAAAAGACACGTCAATAACAGTCATAGTTTGCTTTGCTACCCGTTAACAAACCATATTACATCCATTTTACACGCCACAATAAACTAAATAAGCTTGATGTTACTGATGCAATGTTTTGTTTCAAACCACGTGTCAGCAACCGAGTCATCAACGAGGTCAAGTACCACTTACTCAACCACTCCATCCAGTCATTCATCGAAAAGTAATAAATCGACGACGCAATCGCAACAGTCAATGGGCAAGATCTTCAAATATCTGACAGTATTACGTGAACATTGAACATTTCGTATCGTTATTGACATTCACTCTGTGATACGACCACTTACATGTCATGATTTCAATATATTTGGTCATATACTAGACTAAATACTTTTAATTTGATACCACTGCCTTGATTTGATCATTTTTACTTTTGACTTTTTTAAACTTGTAATTAAGTAATGTATTTTTTAACTCGGCAATAAAAACAGAAATGTATGTACGTCTGACTGTCCTTGAATATATGTCTCTCTGTCTGCCCTTATTTCTGCCCAATTATCTGTCTGTCTGCCTGCCTTCTATATTTTCAGTAATTTGTAGAATTTTTGCCGAACTCTCGAATCATATTTACATATAATTTGACGACTATTTATTTGGTTTAATTAACAGATGTTTTCAGGAAAACAAAGACAACATTTGGTAGAGTGGATATTTTCATCTGCAATGCTGGTATTTGCAACGAATATGAATGGGAGAGAATGGTAGATATTAATTTCGTAAGTATACTATGTCTCATGTGCTATGACCTGACCTATGACCTGCAACTATGTCCACCAAACATGTGGAGATATTGGGTTACACGGGGTGAATTTTTTTCGCGCAAGCAAATTAGTTCTTAATAAATTGTTCTCTCTCATAGTGTTCTTATAGTACTTAGCAGAATGTGCGTGTTTTAAACGAGTATCTGAAACTCCAGTAATGTCAATATTGATTTTAATATAAAACCTTACAGTGTCTGGTTATCTTGATCACGTGATTTCATGGGAATGCTATTATCATTACATAACTTCTACATTCTCAAAATATAATAATTCACATATCATCAATGTATTATATACATTATTATATATACAGGTCATATGCTTTGTGATTATTATCAGACCATATATAACATTATAATGGCTAGTAATGTCCTCAACTGATTAGCTAACTAACTAACTACAAATTAGAAGAAACAATTGTTATGAGTTAATACTACGATGTATCATAGAGCCGATGAAAACTCACACAAAAAACAGTATTCGATGAGAATAAATACTTTGAAATATTAAGATATAATATGGCACATCGTCATAACGATATGACATGTTACATTCGTCATAATATATGATACGGTACATCGCCATGAGATATGAAACATGTTACATTGCCATAAGATATGACATGTTATATTGCCATAAGATATGACATGGTACATCACAATAAAACATAATATGTTACATCGCCATAAGGCATAATATGGTACATCGCATAAGGATATGACAAGGTACATCGTCTTTAATTATAACATTGTACATTGCGCTAAAACATACAACTTATATTCTATGTTATTCATGTACTGTTCTTGACATCCATGCCTTCCAGACTTCTACAATCAGAAACACATATCTTGCTGTGGAATATATGGGGACAAAGAATGGAGGAAATGGTGGAGTTATAATAATCAATTCTTCTACTGCAGGTTGGTATTTCATCACCACTTTTTACCTGAAGTGCAGTGTTTAAGAGCGGAGAAATTCTGTCCTTTTTATCTAATTGGTTAATATGATATTCGAGTTTGAGAGCAGTTTAGGCTCTCGACTAAGTTTTATAGTGTTACGTGTTATATGTTTATTTTTCAAGATATTGATTAAATTTCATTTGAAATTGTCTTCTTTTTGTGGCTACAATTGTTATCTGGCCATATTCAAATTACTGCACTATTATTTATGAACTTTTAAATATTTCATGTTAAATTATTATATAAGATACATATATGTGTAAGATACATCGAGATTAATACAGTACATGTAGTATTAATATAGGATTACACTGATTGTATTGTTCATACATTTTGCTCATTATGCTGTACTACTATATTTTGAACTGTTATATAATGTATGTTATATTAAACTATAGGGGGCGTTGAGGTGGATACAGTACATGTAGTATAATTTTAGGGACATGAATTTTAATTGTTTTTATGTGATTAAGAGGACTTCATTGTTCCATTTCGGTCAGAATATTTTGTTTTTGCGTAAAACGTTTAGAATATAGTATTGCAATGTTTCAAGGTCTTTTTATATTTATTTTTCCATACATAGAAAAATTGTATTCGTGACAATCTAGACGTTACTACAGAAATAATAAGCAATAAAAGTAAAAAACAAACAAATTCTGCCCAACCTATTTTCATATAGGGATTTCTTATAATGATTTAAACACATTTTTTGATAGGCTTGACACAGTTTCCTGTTTTGCCAGTGTATTCAGCCGCCAAGAGTGGTTTGGTCGGATTTGCAAGAAGTGTGGCGGTAAGGCAAATCATAGATACCAAATGTAGTGTTCGTATAGGAATACTAGCGGGATACAGTAGTCTTTTCAGTTCAATAGGATTCCTATTGGACATTTACGTATATGAACATTTAACATGCCAGTAATGCATATAGTGGCTGCCTTGTTTAATTTAAATTAATCTAATTATAAATGACATTAATTAGAAGGAAGATGGTATAGCAAATCATATTTTTGTTGTTTGCTGTGTGTTTTTATTCTGTTTCTATGGAAAATGTATGTACTTCTTCTTGGAGTATTTTGGGGGATATTAGAATTATGGTGAATGTTTGTACCATTGCTATTCGACATAGTACAATTCACAACAATGTGGCGGTGGTATCTGAATATACAGACAACGTGACAGTTTTCGCATAACCCCATATTGTAATTTGTTCCAATCAGAAATGAGAGGTTAGAGGGAACATGTCACAGCGCACAGTTACTCAAATAAAATCATAAAATAAAAGTGTTCTGACATTTGTTAATGTTACTCTATAATGAGATATTAAATATTTATAAAAACTATCCAGAACTTTAGTCTAAGATAAACATTCGGCACATTTGTTCAACCATTCTCCGCGCTGTTAACTGGTAGCAACGTACAATTGTTATTCAGTTATGTTAACAGACTCATATTAACTTTAGGTCAAGACACGGTAACGACAATAATAACTGTTATATTAGCAAACAAGGGCGAACAAAAATAACATACATAAGGGCAACTACACATATAAGAAAATATTTTAAAAATTAATAACTCAATGAAGGTAAAACCCGATTATAAATATTCAGTGGGATGTAAATAATAGGAGCTGACTCCTTCGATGTATCATATATGGATTTTTGTGTTACATTAGATAATACATACATTATATACGATTTGGAAAATAAAAAAAATATACAAATAATGAGCAGAGCATTCCAAACTATTGAATTGTGAACATTATTTTGTTCAGCATAACCAAACAAAATCACTAAAACGTAGTGTTTGTGAGAGTTGTGGGTAGGGGTGCCATTCTAGCCTATAAACTTGAATTGCTTTGGTTGCCACCTTGGATTTTTAACAAACCTCGAGTTATGGTGTCTAATATGAGAGAAGATGTGTCTTGGATATACAGGACAAAGATGTGTAATTACTTATTTGTAATTACTTATCTATGAATTACCAAAATTAAGTTAAAAAAAAACCTATTTTTCAAATATTTTTCAAATGCATGCCTTACTCCCAA